GCACCGCCGCGCAGTACCGCATCGACTTCAACGCCGCCTACATCAGAACCCTTTTCAAGCACTGCAAGACCCAACACTACGTCGCCCCGGACAGCACCCTTCGCCCCATTTCCGCCGCCGCCCATCTCGCATCCCCGACCCAACCGCCGCCGCCGCGCCCACCGCCCGCGACCACCGCCCACCCCGCGTCGCTCGCCGCCGACGCCACCCAGTACCGCGCGCAGGCGCTGCACGCCCAGAGCCTCGCCCTCGCTCGCGCCCAGTCCACTGCTTTCCCCGCTACTCAGCCCGCACCCCATCTGCCGCTGCCGCCTTCCGCACCGCCGCCTTCCGCACCGCCGCCCACGCCACCCCTGCCCGCTTCCGCCGCTCCGATGCACGCCCACAACCCCACTGCCAACCTTATCACCCCGCAAATCGCTTCCACTATCGCCTTCTTGCAGCGCCAGAGCGCCATGCAGGGCCAGATCATCTCGCAGGCTCAGGCTTTTCAGGTCTTGCGCCAACTGTCTCAGCAGCGCGCGCGGCCGATGCAGCGGCCGATGCAGCAGCCGATGCAGCAACCGATGCAACAGCCGATGCAGCAGCCAATGCAGGTCCCGGAAAGCCATCCTGGCTTATCTCAACAGCAGTATCAGCACAAGATGCTGGCGAGGCGCGCGGGTCAGATGAACCTCGATGCGCTTCAGGAGCTCCGGAACCGGCAAGGCACCGGTGCCTTATCTGTGCAAACGTCATCTCCCAATGTGTCATCTCCCACTGTGTCATCTCCCACCTTGCCAACTACGAACACCGCCAGCCCTGGAGGCGTAAATGTCGCTCAAAATTCAACTCTTAATAATCAGACAGGAACCGCGCGCACTAGCGATTTGCGGCACTCCGCAATCATACGCGCCCCGAATGGAGCCTCTGCGCCACTGAATTCCGCATCTCTGCAGCCAATGCCGAAACCATCTACGCGTGCAGCGGCACACCCGCCAACGGGCAACGGCCCAACTCCATTGCGGGGCGCGGTTCAGAAGAAGGTGATCAAGAGGCAGATTATACCGATAACGGCCAACATCACAAGGTGCGAGTTAACCAGCCCCGTCCTCAAGGTGGCTTCCCGGTCTCAAGATCTTATTTTCAGCGGCGCTTCCTTGTTCTTCACTAAAGCCGTGTTCAAAGTGCCATCCACCGAGGAGGAGGCTTTGGATACCATGAGGACGGGCACCAGCGATGTCGACAAAGACTTGCCAGATGGCAGCCCGATCAATGATCTCTACTTTCTCAGCTGGAGTCATACGCAATTTTTCGCCGCACAGATGGCCGCGCTTGGATACCGCTTTTTGTCATCCAATTTGAGTAGAAGGGCGCAGAAAACCAAACCACCAGCTGTATCGGAATGGCTTCGACTTGAAAAATATCACACTGTTCCAAGACGCATGGTGCAAGCTGGTGCCCCTGTACAAAAAATATCCGCTGCTGCAGCGGGGCAAGGCTCGGTTGCTCCACTTGGGACACATATTCGACCTGCCAGTCACTCACAAATGGTCGCCGCTGCGGCGCCGCCGAACCAAAATGGCGTCCCGCCCCCATCTGGTCGTGGGCTTGCAGACACTGCCATCATGAAAGCTACGCCGCAAGGCAGACTATCGAATAGCTCTACCTCTCAGCAACCTTCTAACCCCGCAAGTTCCAAACCCGCTTCAAACATGACGTCATCTCCGGAGGCACCATCGCATGCACCTTCAGCTATGGCGTCTCTACCATCCGGCAAAGTTCCCGATGCGAATGATGTCCAAGTCATAGACCTAACATGATGCATCAAACGATAATCGCCTCCGCCTTTCGAGCCACTGGGTCATAGAGCGCATCCCTTCGATGCGTAAGGGTGCTTACTTGTATAGTACTTACTCACTAACTGTCGCCGCGATGCTTAGTTTCCGATTAGGCGATGGTTCTGTCCCTGATTTGCTCCCTAAATTTTTGTTTTTAGTCCTTTGCGTCTCTCAAAACAGAATAGGCGTGTTCCTGAAAACGATTCACTTGCTAGGTTCGCGATGCATGACTCAACCTCTGAGCGTGCCATTAACCAATAGCTGTATATCTGTGCCGAGAAAACGAGCAACTGCTAACGTCATGCCTATTGCAATGATGGCAAAAGCTGCAGGCGATGCGAGGAGGGATTCCAGAGACGCAGGTGACCCAGAGGCGGCTGTATTCTCCATACGCCTCTTCTGTTGGGCATATCTATCTTGTGCGAAGGATGTAGTGATGTCATCTGCCAGAGGGCGCTCGGGTGCAGACGAGATGAGACGGTAGTTGGTATCTTCATTCTCAGAACGCCAGACCTGCCATTGCCCGGGGTACGCACGATGTAAGATTCCGCGAAGAGGGTACGACTGTTGCGGAAAATGCAATACACAGAGGGAAGTCGTCAGGCAAAAAGTCAGTGGCAATGCAACGGTGGTAGGAATGCCGTCGACAGAGTTTGTCTTGATATTGGAGAATACGTACTTTGCCTGCGCTAAACAGCAAGCGCAAATAAAAAATGTGGTCTATGTTTTCCAAGAAGCGGACCCGTTCCGCACGTCCACTTACCTGCATTACGCCGCTGTGACTCGGAACGTCCGCCAATCGTGGGTTGAGTAGGATCACTGGTCTTCCGCGTGCCCTGGCGACCATATCTGTAAGATTATCGATGACCGGAATTGAGACTGCATTTGTGGGGGACACAACGATGACAATATCATCTTGGTCATCAAGGTCATCCACATTTTCCAGGGCCCCTGAACGAATGATGTTCTCAGTCCATGCTTCCTGGGACATGTTCAAGTCGGCGTCGAAGTTTCTTCGGAGGCCAGAAACGGAGAGCGGAACTGCACCGAAAGCGCCGGTTCCTTGAATCAGGACTCGACTTCGTAAACGGCATGAGAAAGCTGTGACATCTAGCACAGCCCATGCCAGGCTGAGTAAGAAGCGGCGGTCATATACGTCCAGTTCTGGGTTAAGTTGCGGAACAAGCAGGGTGACTTGAGACACAGGAGCAGAGGTGCCGGGCTGGAAATCGGCCAAATAGCTGGCTGTGGCAGCCGCGGCTGCTTGCAAGTAGACGTGGCGTCGGTCGCTCGGCATTGGTGATGCCATTATGCGAGATGTGAAACAGGGGGTGCCCGGGATTTTCATGTCGGGTAAGGTGTCATTTGGTTGTGGTGATGGCGGTGGGGTCGCACACGCGCGCGGGATATGGGCAAAGTAGCTGCAGGAAGAAAGTGGGCGCGCCCTCTTCTGAACAGTTTGTCGAGCATGGCGGGGTGGCAGAACTGGCTGAAAGCTGACAAATGACAAAGCGTGGGTTGGCATCGCAAGAATATGTGCGCAGTAGCGGCGTGAGCACCACGGCAACGGCAAGAAGAGGATGTGGATGGGTGCGGTTAAACGCGGTAAATGTTCTTCTTCACTATGGATTGGAGATGCAAAGGGAAACTGAGGTGGAGCAGAGGCGCACCTGCTGTTTACAGCAGAGGAAAGATCTGCCGTATCTCGCTTTATGTAACATTCCGTGTTCTGATCATTGAGCAGATTTATTTTTAAATCTATCCACACGGTTTGCAATTAAAACGCTATTCGTGGCGTGCTCTATGGTCGAGAAGCGTCTTGGCCCAAGAATCATACATTTTTTGAAATATTTTTGCAGTCCGGATAGTGGCAGCGTTGTCCGAGAGTTGCATTATCCCCCCCCCTTTACAGTACCCTTCTCGAAAGAGGAAATTCCGGACATGGGTTAATTCCGAACAAAAAATTTCCTCTATAGCCTGTACTTTGCCCCACAAAATCTACCCTTGGGTGGACTATTTCTTGGCTTTTTAAGCCTCTTTCAGCCCATTAAACGACTTCAAAAGCAGCAAAGAGAGGAAGCTACGGCAGCAAAGAGACAGCAAACAGCAAAAACAAAAAAAGGGCTCAAGATATTTGAAACGAGCAAAGAAAACAAAGAAGGATCGTGTTGGTCAGGCATTTGAGGGGGCTTACTAAGCCTGTAGGCTTAATTTACTCCTAAACGGATAGTGTTGCGCACAGAAATGTGAAATGTTATATATATGCAAACGCAAAATTTTACACTTTTAGCCACCAAATTTAGCCAAACCGATAGGGGTGCTCTAAGGATATCCTACTGCAGTAGGTTATCTCTAAAGAGCAACAAAACTCTTGAGTATTGATAAGCATCGAGGCTGTTCGAGTCAGCTATCAGGTAGCCGCATTGCTTGCGATACTGTATTCATGTATTGTGTAAATCAGGGCGTACTGTAGACCTCAAAAACGGCATCAGAATTGGCCAATACGGAATGTACACGCGGCCACTCTCGAGGAAAAAAAGTATCTACTGTAAATGCATAGAAAAAACACAACTTCTGTACAGTATTGCACAGTATGCAATACCCTTGGTACTGTCCTCATCATCCTGTCATACTGTTCAGTACGGTACACGTACAGTACTGTTTCAGTAGCGAGAGGCCCGGCAGCATCCCTAAGGCTACCTCAAGTACTACTCGGCTGTTACAGGAGCAATTTTGGCGCGAAATCATACAAATCCCAAACTGCAAGAGCAAAATCCATACTGTTCAAAGCTCTTTATCAGGTTGGTGACTTCCAGTGCATCCCTTTCTCCCACTCGCGGCCCTAAGTGTTCACGAATGTAGTTAGTCCCATTCCAGCGGTCATTGCGAGAGTGAGCCTTGCAAACAACAATACTGTCACAGCCCCAACACCGACATTCCTTCTCCTTCCCTCCTTCCCTCCTCCCCTCCTTCCCTCCTTCTCTCCTTCCACCACAAAACCACGCAGGAACTCGCTCCCTGCTACCGCTCCCTCAGTCTCCCTGCTTCACATGGCCGTTGGAGATTACCATGTCTTCCAACTCTGAACCCTCCACCGTCCCCACCCGCCGCGACATTTCCAAAACTCTATCTGCAACCAAGAATCTGCGTGCCATTTCTATGTCCCTCGTGAAAAAGTTGCGCTCAAACAAGGGAATATCTTCTGTTGACATCGCCTCCGAACTCGCAAACGAGGCCATATCAGAAGTAGAAGGTGCTGCGTTTGTCGTCTCCGAAGATGAACTGGCCGCAGTGGGCAAAAATATCCGCCGCCGTCTCTACGATTCGCTTAAGGTTCTCGAGTCTGTCGGTGCCATCAGACGTACCCGAAAGGACAAAACCCTTACCTGGGTTGGCACTAATCACCTAATTCCCTTGCGCTTTCAAGCAGAGCAATCAAACATTCGAGGCAGCTCACCTTCTAACTCAATGGTCATCTATAAATCCGTGGTCCGCCTTCGGAAATCAATCGCTGATAAGCATAGCAAGCTGTCTCAGCTGAAAGGACAGGCTCGTGCAATCCTTACTCTTTGTCAGCGCAATCAACGTGCTCCGGAATCGGAACCATTACGAATCCCGCTTCCATTCGTCATCATCCGCACCCCCGTCACCACCGACATCAAGCTTGAAGCAACGCCTGACGCCGACAGCATGGTTTTTGAATTTTGCGGTCATTATGAAATTGTGAATGACAGCGGCATACTTGACCGGATGTTTATTGTTCCCAATCCCACTTATGCACCGCACAAACTGCCAGCTTTGCGTGCCCCGACTGATCTACCTACCCCCAGTAGTCCATCAATACCAGATCATAGCCTGGACCGTCCGCCAGAAGTTGACCCTTTCTCGTCTCCTAAACGGCGACGAGTTGCATCTAAATCTCCATTCGCCAAATTCACTTCAGGGTCTAAGCCGCCGCTGTCACCTGGAGCGCCCTTGCTCCATGACGCTGTGCCACGGAAAACCCGCATCTCTATGTCTTCCTCTCCTCTTCAAAGCCAATCGCTGCGTAGGTCTCCCAATCTCACTAATTGTCTTTCCCCCATGAACAGATCACCACGTACGAACAGTTGCACGCCACCCAGAAAGAGGCGCTTTCCGTTCCACACTGACGGAACTTTGGATGGCGAAGACTTAGGTGCCAATGGAAAGGGCAAGTTGTTAAGAAGGACGTATGGGCCTCTGCAAACTAGCTCAAGTCTCCGAAGAGAATCGATCCAACCAGCGAGTGCGGTGTCTCCTCCGCCGTGAACAAGGCACGATTGTAACGGTGAAAACCTTCAGTGCCTATAAATAACTAGGACTTTCGATGACACCAAAAGTGTGTCTTATCCGCCGCAAAGAGGAGAAGTCTTTTACATCTTTTTTTGATTTCACAACTCGCGAAGAAACCCTAGCACTTAATGGGCACCAAGCCCTTCGTTATCGACAGTTGCCTCAAACAATACCCATCTGCGAAAGATTATCTGTCTTCTAGGTTGTTCCCGATGATTTAATCGAGGCTAGCAATCCTACTAAATTCTGAGGACTGCGGAGTTTTTCAATTTGAGTATAGACACGCTCTGGTTGCCCACTTTGGAGAAATGCATTGGCATAGGCCACTGTTGGTGGCCTAACGAACAGTTTCACACATTTTTTAGAGGCACATAGTCTGTTGTACAGTAGTCCCATATCGGCATTGGGAACATAAGGCTTCGCAGGCGGCTTTCAGCCAGTTTCTCTTCTAAAAGCTCTCATGCTGAAGACTCAAATGCCATAAGACTTTCAAGCCTTTGTCAGCCTAGCTTGCCGGTAAAAGCATAGCATTGTTGTCTGTGCCACTAATGAGAAACTGTTCATTTGAATGCCAGTCGCCTGCTTAGTCTCATTCTCCAACCCCACCAACGAACGCATCTTTCAAATGCTTTTCTAGTTTGTCTGATGACAAAGTAAAGGCGAGCAATATTTGCATTTTCGCGGCGACTCGTGCAAGTCACTTCGGCTCGAATTCTATGCTGCCGTCATATAGCCGCTAATCCTGCTCGATCCACCAAATAGGGCGGTAGCTATTGAAGGAATGGGTGCTCATAGTTTCAACAGTCACACTCAAATGACTTGTGATCATCTCGACACTCACATTCAGTCAAACGGTCGACGAATTTCGGGAAGTCTCATGTGATATCATGTTAACGGTAACAGGGTAACCAGTGTCTTCCAGGCCTTTGAGCCACTGCCATTTGTACGCCGAATAGAAGTCAAAAAATAGATTACCTGCCGCATCTAGAGCATGACGTCTACTTTCGCAGTTCTTGTGCAAAATCGAAACCATCTTTGAAGAGGAATTTCTTAACGCACCGTAATACCCATGGCAATGATCCACATTAAAGCGATCATCTAGTGAATTCACAAGTTTAGGATGGCTTTTCATAAGCCCAAAATAGACACCCTGGTCGCCATGAGGAGGAACATAGTTCAAAGACGTTTCATTGCGCCATTCAGGGTGACTGTGCAGTACACTTGAAAACAGATCCGGATAAGCACGAACCTGGCGAATTTTCTGGATGTCCATGAGGACAACGCAAGAGCATATGTTCGACGACTTCGAGCGATCAAAAAGAGGCATCTTGTATGCCCAAGTGCCATCATCATCGAATTGAGCCCATAGGGAAGCAGGATCATCCAAAAAAATCATGTCACTGTCTATAACGATAACACGATCGAGATCCTGGAGAATCCATGGCAACAAAAGCTTCCCCGTACCCCATGAACCACTGTGGTGACCATGGGGATCGAGTTTGATTTTCAAAGCCTTCTCGTCAATCCATTCTGTTGAGATAACCATGATATCAACCCTAATCGGCTTGTCAGCGGTGGTGAGATTCTTTGCAAACATTTCGTGGACGCGTCCTGCGCCGTCTTCGTCGGTCAAGAAAATGAAATGTAGGCGGCATGTGGACAGCAGAATGGCACTCACTAGTAATGGACGCATTTCGGATACGGTGTCGGTGTCGCCGGTCCCGCACATGATTGCAAAAGTACACCATTCTTTCTGTTCTTGACCTGAGATTTTCACAGCCGTGAACCTGCGGTACGCATGCTGAAAGGAATCTTTGAAAGTCGACAGCTGAAATGGATAGGATAAAAGAAAGAGCACTGCGCTCGTGAGGATGAGTAATTTTGCAATACGATACAGGAGTGGTTGTGGAATTCGGGTAGTCTTGGCGCTCCCGAGGCTTTCAACAGACTCTCTTTGGGTCTCTTCGACCTCTATGGGGGAATCAGCAGAGGATTTGCGGTCTGCTCCAAGTTGCCTCGCAAAGAAATCCAACGGCATTACGAGGTTAGTATTAATGATCTTCCTCACTGCAGAGTGTGGCAGGCCGCGAGATGCTGTATACGCCTGAAACTGCGGGGGGGGGGGGGGGGGGAACGATGTTTTCGTTTCTATTCTAGTACTTACAGGGCCTAAGGCCGTGTTTACATCCCTCAGATCAATTTGCTACTCGTTAACACAAAATTTCTCTTACGTCACAGTATTGTAACGAAAATTGTATGAACACCATTGGTACTAAAACGTATGCTACGGCCCTCTCCGATATCCCTATTGCTCTATATGGCCATTAAAATGGCCATAATAAAAACTATAGATTTTTGATTTTAGGGGCTTATGTCCACTTCACTGTGCATAAGGGTGACCCCACCGCCAACAAAATTTCTGTCCTAAAATTCCAACCACTAAAGTTTGGACCGATGGACTAAAGTTCGGACCGATGGAAGAAATTTTGAACCCCACCGCGCCACCATTTGTCCTAAAGTTTAGAATTTGGGAGGGATTCTTTTCCAAACCAAAATTATTTGGTCGAGATTTTTGTCCAAAGCGCCGTTTGGGCGAGCTTCGTTCTATAGTAACGGTACAGAAAACATCTGAATTTCATGTGCTTACAGCTCCACCAAAGCTCTTCCAAATGGCATTGGGGCTGTTTTGACTGAAGTCCCATCAATAGTGTGGGACGCAAAAAGGAGTGTTGTGCAGCCTTCGCTCGTGGACATTTCCCATCTTCTCCCTCCTTCTCGTCTTCTGAGAAGTGCAGGCAATGGCTGAGGTGGTTACTAGGACTGATGACTCGGCAGTAAGAGTGAGGAAAAAGGGTAAGGGACTGGGGTGGTCAGACGAGGAGAATCTTGCCCTGTGCGTTGCTGAGAGCGCAGTTCCAGAGTCCATAATAGGAATTGAAAGCGTGGTGTACTTGCCGAGTTGATAATTCCCAAACAGGAGCCTACATATTATGGAGAGCGGGCAAGTGACGAGCAAAAGTTGCCGCCAATTGTGGAGCAGATGCGTGCAGTAGCTTGCTTCTTTGCGCCAAATGTATTTCTACGACATACTTGTAGCCTAATTGGGGTGACCCTGAATATGAATAGATGTATCGTGTTACAGGCGCGGTGGGGTTCATCTCTGAATCACCACCTCCCCCAAAGCGCAGCTTGATTAAAAGATAGTAGATACAATTATCGGAGGACAACTGTCTGCTTTTTGCGATTTTGGGCAAGGCGCGGTGGGGTCACCCTAAGACCCGAAAATTGGGAGGTACTCGGCAGCCCCTTACTCGGTTTCCGCCCTATCGAGACTTATTCTGTAAGCTTGGACGTATTCCGCTTGCTTTTTTCTGCACGCTCGATTTTCAAGATCTCAAAACCGTTGAGTATTTCGCCTCAAGCACCGGCAACCTCCCCATGTCCCCCAGCATGGCCACCGTGATATCGTCGGATCTTCCCTCTGGCTTTCCCGAGCCCAATGCGACAAATGAACCAAGTATTGAGCAGCAAAACCATTCTGGGAATGGTGCCATCCCACATGCAGGTATCGATAGAGCCACAGGAGATTTCACAGGCAATGTTGCTGCCCATAGCGGCCGAGCGGTTCCAACACCCTCCCGGGGACGCCCTAGAGGTCGCAGTGGACGTCGTGGCCGAGGATGCGCTCGCCGGAGGACGTCAGAACGCCACACGCATGTAGCTGATCCTACAACAGGGTGGACGGTGTGGTACAATTGCCAAGTGGCGCTACTGCACTAGGCGGGCGCCAGAGGCCTCGCCAAGTACAGTAGTAAGATGTTAACCGATACGGTGCATACGTGGCCAGCACGGGTAGATGTGGCCACGTGGGAGTCCACGTGTAGTTAGTGGCACCAGCTAGTGCAGGTGTACACGTGGTGCGCGACCGATCGGTGGGTTAGTACAGTAGTCATTTTTATTATCGTAAGCTACAGTAAGCTGGCTACAGTATGTACAGCTACTGTAGTTCGTCCGGTGCCACCGCCCTACTAGGGGGTATAAGATAGGGGGGCACCGGGCTGGAGGTAAACCGAGGCAAGCACGCCTCCCCTTACTTCCTACCCTAGTCCTTTTACCGTACGGTTAAGTAAGTGTCGCATAAACACCCCACACACGGCGGAGGGGTGTTCGCGATGTTCGGCGGAAGACCCCGGATCGGCGTACCGAGGGTCTTGAACCAACCAACGCCACCGGAAGCGGGCCGGTAGCGGGTGGTAGAGCGTGGTCGGCGGGGACGCGCGCGTAGGCGAGCGGATCGACGCCTCGACGCCCCGGAGCAGTACCGGTTGACGATCCGGTACTGACGGGCGGAGGCGGATCGCAGCTCGCCGCGGTGTCGCGCGCGTCCACTACCCGCTCGGTGGTAACTACTCGCGGAACGGCGGTGTGAGTAGAGTAAGCTGGGTGGTCGACCGTCGGTGGAGGGTTGCCTGTCTTCGTCCCCTCCGCCGGCGGTCGCTCCCTATATTTATTGTACAAGTTAATTAACCGTCTACAGTACAGTGCGGACTGTACTGTAGTCGGCTTACTGTAGACAGTGCGGGCCGGCCCGCACTGTAACGCTGTCAGCCGTCGAGGCTGACAGCACACGTGTGCTACACGTATGGTACACGTGTTGGTGCGCGCGCGCTGTAAGGTATGCGCGCGCGCACGCTGTAAGGTTCGTACCTTACAGCGTTAGATCTAATTCTAAATCTAATGTATAGTACAGTAGCCGGCGGTTATGCTACACGGCCCCCCCCTCAAGCGTGAACGTCCTCGTTCACGTGCGTGAGTAAGGGGGGGGGTCCTTTCCCTTCATCGTTACGACCTCCTTGTCTCTTTTGCCCTGCGACTAAGGCCTCGTTTCTGAACTCGCTGCAGCGGCTTGTCATTGCCGAGCCGCCGCACTCGTCCGCGTGCCGTCTGCAGCTCCTCGTTGCTGCTCGCCCCCGTCTGTATTTCTGATTTTCTAAAATGTCCTATGCAGAGACCATGCAAGCCCATGCTCACAATTGGAGCGGTTATCATAACTTTTCCATGGGGATTTGCTTAGGCCTGGTCCTATGCAATACCAAACATGTTCCATGGAACCGTCCATGCACCAGTCTATGTCTGCATGCGGCAATGGCGGCCAAACCAACTCAGATATGTTCAATGCGAGCTCATGCAGGCATTGGTGTGCATGGGCTCCGCATGGCGGATTCAATCCAAGTTTTAGTTTTGCCAAACATGTTCCATAAAACCGTCCATGCAACAGTCCATGTCTGCATGGGGTAATGATGGCCAAACCAATTCAGATATGTTCAATGCGAGCTCATGCAGGCATTTGTGTGCATGTGTGTTCATGGGCTACGCATGGCGGATTCAATCCAAGTTTTAGTTTTTGCCCGAAAGTGCGATACAATCCGTTTTATCGATATCTGATCTGATGCTGCGCCGCAACCCTCAGTGCAGTCAGTATGTACAACCGCTATCCCAGCACCCTTGCCCTACATGGAGGACTCGTCGGTCCCCCGTTAACAGTTCTTTAGAAGTCCCGTCGAAGAGTCATCATGACATGAATTTACTCAACATGAGGTTGAGTAATTTCTGAGGACTACAGTAGTAAATGGTAATTTTGTTTAAACCCAGGCGCGTTTTGAGAGTGTTTGGAGTTCGTGCGGGATGAACCAACCCAGAATTTTCGTTTTGTATTGAAAAGGGGGTAGTCTACAGTACGAAGGAAGTCTCAGCTTGCGCACCGTTTCGAGAAGACTTGGTTGACACCTCTTTCGCAGCCCCATTGTCCGCAGACTTGTAAAATCGATCGTTGGGTCTTGAGCTGCTCCGCTCACTGCCAAGTCCGTTTTCTTGATCCGTGTACTGCCCGAAGAACGTCTCAACGTTCGAATCTTCATGAGATTTGGCAGCAGGACACTGCCAAACATTAAAATTGTGTAAATCTACATCTTATGTATTAATCTACATCTTACGTATTAATCTAAACATTATTTAAAATTCAACAAATTATTTATTTATTATCAGTATTCATGCAGAATTGAATTCGCGACCAAAAGAAAAGGGTAGCAGGGGAGTGGTACCGAAGCACACCACCCCTGCTGAAACCCCTTCTCCATCGCCCCGCCTTTGCGTGCGCACGACTACCGACCTTTCTGGCGGTGCCAGAAGTAAATTTCCAACCAATTTATATCCGACGATTTCGTGCTACAGTATCGGCCCCCCTGTGCATTGGCCTCACCTTGATTAGTGCAAATAAAAACAGAGTATAATGTTAGAGAAATAAATGAACTTTTCTGTATCGGCCCACCGCCCACCCTTGCAATTCAATAAAATTCCTCCCCTGCGCAATTTTACACGTGGCTGCAGTCGAGGCATTGCCCGCCACAGCATTTAATTTCCGACGCTCCTCTGCCAACAGGGGGCGCTGCAACTCCTGCAGCCCAGCCTCCCCCCTCTTCGTAACCTCCTGTTCCGCTTTCTACCACTTCCGGACGTCAGCTCGCGCTGCAGAAGCGTCTCCACCCGCACGGTGACAGCTGCGCCCAAGACTCCGTCGTCCCCGCAGACGTGCCCCACGCCCGCGGTGCGCCTGCCCCACACGCGCACCGCTGCCGTCGCGCCGGCAAAGTTGATCGCGGAGAAGAGGCTGGCTCGTGCACAAAGTGCAGGGGGAGCTGATAGGACAGCCGATCTGCACCGCCAGATCGCGCGCTCATCCCTCACGTCGTCATCGAGACGCACGCCGAGTTGGTGGCGCGCAACGCCGTCGACCTCTTGTCTCCGCCGACCCTTCCGCGCTCCTTGAGCCCTTCGTACAGCTGCCTCTCGTCCAGCTCGCCCTCCATCCTGTCCCTGCTCTTCGCCGACACGTTCTCCCTCCGCAAGTACCTCCCGATCCAGCGCATTAGCTCCCCAGCGTCATACAGGTTGATCACCTCGTCGTACCGCCGATAAATCCCCCGCATCCTCTCAGTGTCACTCTGCCCTGTTTTCGTCGTAAAACTGGTGCAGGTTGCACCTGAGCAACTTTCCCACGAACGTCCGATAGCTCTACCGATAATTCACCCCGAAATGCTTCCCCTTCAACATCCGATTGAAAACAAACATGCTTCCCCACGGCATTGCGTAGCCCACCTCGCCAGTTGCGTAACAGCGATTTTAACATTGCCACCCCCACAATATTATCACTCTTATCCTCGAAAACAGGCATCCGTCAGTAGTGAGACTCAAAATCTTATTCCAGCAGCTCAGTCAAAGTGCTGGTAACCGTAAAAGCAACGGCGTCAACTCTGGGACGCATGAGATTTCGGACATCGGTCTCGTCCAAGTCGAGCACGTCGTGAATAATGTGAGACTCGTATTTCTCCATACCTCCTGAGCCACTAGCGCCCGCAACAACGCAGAGCCACTCCGTTGTTCCGTCTTTTTCAATCGCCATGGTATACAACCATGCCACCTGCCCTATGTTACGGCCCACTTCGTCCGCCCCGTGCTGCATCAGCGTGCCAAGATGCACCATACCGTCTTCCTCAATCGCATCCTGAAGCAGCTTCGCAGCCCGCGCAGCGTTCTGCAACCCCATCTCCTCCATCCGTCAGGAGGAGAGCCAGATTCAACTTAGTGTTACCGCTGCGCACGCTCGTACAGCTCCAGAGCGCGGACCTCGTCCATTTCCACTCCTTCCGTGCCGTGGTGTAGCAGCAGATCAAGATTGTCCAATGCATGCACATTGTTTCTCCTGTCAATCGCAAGCTCGTACAGCTCTGAGGCGCGAACCCCGTTCTTCACGACCCCCCCGCGCCGTCCTGCAGTAGAAGGCCGAGATGCATCATCTCCCATTCGTACAGCGTTAACCGCGTTCGTCTCGACTCCCTCAGTGCCCTTGTGAAGGAAGAGACCGCGACTGACCATCGAAGCGACATCATTACCCTTCTTGATCGCACGCTCGAACTTGTCTATGCCGTGTTTCTCTCGAATCCCTCCACATCATATACCAGCAGCGTGCCGAAATTGAATATAGAATGGACATGATCTTGTTCCTCAATCACCCTCCTCCACAGTTTGACAGCCTGCGCTCCATCCTTCCCAACTCCGTCGTTCCCATCCCTCATTACGTTGCCAAGCTTGTATATCGCGTCGACACACAGGTCTACTTCGATCGCACGTTCGTACAACTACACGGCGCAAGCCACGTTCCTATCGACCCCCTCTGCGCTCTTCTACAACAGCAAGCCGAGAGCGACCATCGCGCTGACGTCATTCTTGTCGATCGCGTTTTCGTACAACTATGCAGCACGGACTGCATTCATGTCGACCCCGTCTACCCCTTTTCCAGTGGTGTGCCGAGGCTCACCATCGCGGCGATATGACCGTGATCCCCAATCGCACTTAGGTCCTCAGTTCGATCCCTCTCTCCATCTACTTTTTGATGCGTACTTATCTCTCTGCTTAACCGCAGTGTTGGAACACCTCCCGTCGACTTCCACAATGAAATTGAACTCAAGAACCTCCTGAAGTTGGCTTGACCATTTTCTTGCGACTGCTGTGAAGTTTGATAAGAAGATCTTCTCTGTAGCTCGTGCCACGTTTGATCATCTTAACGTAGTATTTCATTCGTTCACGGAACTGAACGTTTTCATCTTGCTTCTTCTTTGGTCAACGTAGTCAAGTTCTATGGCTGTACGACGATGAGCTTCCAGAAAAGGCTCGAATCGATCATTCTTGGGAGTACCTTAACACTTGTGTGTGCTGAGTAGCTGTGGCAATGGAAGGCGTGTCGGCATTAGGGAACATCGGAGCGTCGAGCATGGTGATATATGAGCAGTGGCGAGCTCGGGTGTGGGAAAGGAAAGAGGTGTCCGACCCCGACTACCTGCCAACCGAAAACGTCAACCTGTTTTTCGATATATGTTACAAACAACTACGACATGCCGGATTTTTTGAAATCATCCGCCTGCACTGTTGCACAATCGTGCCTGTAGCCGCTAGCATTCTCACGCACATAGAGCGACCTTCAACAATACTTTGAGCTTCGGTGCCGATTTTTTTTACGATTCGCGATGTGGGCAAGCTGGGCACCATGCTCATCTGCTTCGTCCAGGTCATGCTGTGCGGCTTCGACGTCGTCTAAGGTATGAGAAGACACCGTCACTGCCCCCGTCTGCTGGTCGTTCTTAGAGTGCGGGATGTGGGGCGCGGCGCAATTTACGTTGAACATGCTAGCGCAAGAAATGCTTGGTTGTTCGGGGGAGGCACAGACAGACGGATCGCCGGGAATTCATTGTTGTGTACTATTCGAACTTTTCGGTATAGCACTAGTATTTACGTTCTATTACAAGCCTCCAGGTTTGAGTACTACCCCTCGCCGTCGAAACTTATCGGATCAAACTGGGAAGACGTGAGCTCGCTAACGCCCACAAAGCCATTGCACACATCTCCGATCCAATCGCAGACATATTTCTTGAATGCTGAAGGTCTGAGAACGAAGCGGTCGCAGTCCTTGCCCTCCTTTATCGAATACGGGCAGACGTACGAAAAAGTTATCTCCCTCGTATCGTTTGCATGCTCAAAAGTCTCCCCGCTGGCATCAGAGATCAGAGTCTTCTCCAGCTCTTCTGGAGCAACCCTCTCAACTATTTCGCGCAACGCTTCGTGAATACCCAGCGTTGCTTTCGGTAACAAATGTGAAAGCACGTCAGTGAACATGGCGTGCGAAACTCCACCTTTGCTCAGAACCTTCAGCAACGCAGAGTGTATATCGCTCTCCTCTGCACCATCGTCGGATAATTTTGTCGCAATGCCCAGCGCTGTCCTCGCCAGTGCCACCTGCATTACGCAGCGCGTCGCCATCCAGGCATCGAGGCGGGCGAGCGTCAAAATTGATGCTACGCCAGCCCTGAGGCGCTCTTTTCCCAATCGTAGTCCAGCCCACTCCTTGTAAATATCCCGAGCGGTGTCAAAAACGAACAAGATGTCAACGCCACTCTCTCCAATATTATCGCTCTCTGAATGCCCAGGCGGCACCACTGTACGCTAGTGGTCTAGGCTACCAGAGGTAATACAGTCAATACATGCTCGCATAATTTTGTCGATCCCGCCGCTGTCGTCATCTGCAAACGCAATTCCCATCATTTTCACGTCTTCGCCAGCAGCATTGTTCAGAGCATGAATGATGTAGTCGACTGAGGCACTCTTCAGCTTGTTTTGAACCGGAATACAACTGACGTCCCACACCTTGGCCACCCTGGTCCAAACCGTTCGCTTGAGGCTGGACATATATGACGACGCCTTGTCAGCCACCTCCGCAGAGAGCTTAGATGCCCCTTGAATGCCATTGAAGATGCATGCGCCCGAAATGTCCTCCTTGGATGCTGCTCTCAGAGCACTGGTAAGCGATCCGCTTTTGAGAGCCATCTTGTATGCAGTGCGAGCCAGAATGGTAGGAGACAATTGCGGCGGTAGAAGTGCGCCGTTTGTAATGACTAGCTTCGCCACATCGAGTGGTGGTACCGCCACTCGAGTGCCGCCTCCCAGCGGTCCGAGCCCATCGCCTTCAGCGATTTTCAGAGGCGAGGGAACCCACCGATAGGCTGCAATTCCTGGCGACTGCTCCATCGGAGTAAGGTTGCGCATGCAACGACGCGCAATGTCAACCGAGGCATATTTCATCACCACGACAAGGTTGCGTTGAAGCGGGGTGATTGTGTCAAGGAATGCCTCGTCCTTTTGACGCTTCTTCTTGGTCGCAATGACTGCGCGCTCGGCAGCGGCGGCAGCCTGGCGTCCTCCACGAGATGAACCTGCAACCAGAACCTCCAACGCAGCCTTGGCATGCGAGAGCTCCATCACCTGCGCATTCAGCCGAGCAACCTCGATCATTAACGAATTGATCTTATCACCTTGTAGCTTTTTCACTTCTTGCATTGTCTGCCTATAAATGTGTTGCTCATCAGCCCTCGCTCTCTCACGGTTGAGCAGTGATGCGATCTGCCGCTGCAGTACAGCTGCGTCGACACCCGCGGCCGTGTCGCCAGTCGACGCTCCGGCGACAACAGCGGGGGGCGAAGAACTTCGGTCCGGGGGAAGGACATCTGTAGCGCGACTGAGGTTGGGGACCGTAGAATGCGAGTGAAGTGCCACATTGGTGGCCAGAGGCCCGATTTCACTGTCTAGCCGCGTCGGGATCGCCGCGCTCAAGTCGAGAGCGCTACCATCTCCCTCCCTGCTCTCGGGCTCATGGCTTGAGATTCCGTGGCTTCCGCGGTTGGCTCTTTTCCTTTTATGAGCCACTGAGGGAAGTCCACAATCAGCCACGGTTCTGGTCTCGGAAGCGAGGCCACGCCGCAATCGCTTGCTTCTCCGGACCGGTGACCCCGGTTCCTCATCCAGCCTCCCCCACCGGTGTCCCACAGTCATCAGGCAGGCCGAAACAGTGGTGCGCCGACGGACCTGAGGTTCAGACCTCAGGAGGATTGGCGAAGCTGCGTACGTACTCGTCCTCGCCAGACTACTCCACCGCAGAAAATTGCGCCTGCCTGAGGCACTAACTCAAGCTTTACGCCGGCAGTAAATTTTTGCTGGAGTAAATTGCTCATGACCGTTACAGAATTATGTAGCGATAGTTGAATTGCGAAACATTATAGTCAAATTTACGCTAGTAAAGTTGAAAGTTTTATTTGAAGCCCTTCTGTAGTCGACGACCATTGCCGCACGCGACGAGCGCGTCGGCACGTCAGAGGAAGTCGAGACAAGCCTACAAAAAGCTGCGCGACGGCGCTGAGTGAATGCGATCCAAGTTTGCCCGGTTCACATGCGGGATAGAGATAACAAATTTCTCAGCCCTTCCAATTTTTCCTGCGAGTCTATCGGGTGGCGTCCAGGCGCGACGTGTGGGTCGAGAAAGACGGGAGAAATACATGCGGCAGTGATCTAGAGGAATTGAGGGCGTGTGTATACTGGTAGCATTTCGCATCTGGCACGAGTGATAGTACTGTACCAAGCAACAGTAGGATGAGTGTGGAACGGGGGGGTTTCGGGGTTTGTCGCTGCGATTGGGGAGACCAGACATGGTGCGTTTCAGGAGGGGGAGAGAGAGGAGGGGTGCGCGGGGGCCATGGTTTGCTGGCGCTGAGTAAGACCAAAGAAGGAGGGAGGCGATGCGGGAATCGGGAATGGTTTGTTGAGGCTTCTGTGGATGTGCCGCGGAGCGATGTTGACCGAGCTTCTACAAGTGGTACAGTTGTTATTGCGTAAAAGGTCACAGCGAGAAAGGCAATGCGATAGGGAATGGGATTGTGTGTGCAGCTTGAGAACAGTTGGGCAAATGTTTATGGCTGCTCACGTGTACGCAGGTGCATGTGTGTATGATTTTTGCAACTGCCAGGCATTTTGCTTTCTGAAGAATCTTGCATCCTGATTACATCAGCTCTCTTGAGCGGGGAGGCATGAAAACACTTTATCACGATCGACATTGTGGGACGCTCTTTGTCTCGATTGACTCAGTCAGTGTCTTTTCAAGATTTTGACGAGCGGTCCGTATTCTCAGAGTTGTCCCAGCGGTTCCGATTGCAGTGCTAAGGCTGCGATTAAGTAGAAGGAGCATTACGGGTCGTGAGGTCTGTGATCATGCTGGTCTGCAGTGGAGTACCTCATCTTACGCATTGGCTGCTTAAATCGGTTGATGTAGAATCGATGCGTCTCCCATCCACTGCGAATGAGGGATGGTTGCGACCTCGTGCCTCTCAACTCATCATCGCAACGAACGACGTAAAGCAAGCCGCGGATTGAGCCGACATATTGCACATCAATGTAAGCGAGATTTATCATTTCCGTAGACGTTTCAGCTTCGCACGCAGGTGCTCCTGCAGAAACAGTTTCATCTTCTCCCCTCACAGCCCAACGAAATTTCACGCAGTTCAAGGCGCCGTCAACGGCATCGATTTCGTCCCCGTGAACACGATCGTAGTACCGAATGAAACAAATCTCGATGTCATCTCTCTTCACAGATGCCTCAGCCAGGAGGTGACCCCGTCGCGGGATTTTGATAGCGATAAAAGCCAGTACTTTTGCAATGTAGACCTTTCGAGGCACAATTCCGCCAGTGCCTCCCGGCGGATCGTCGCCACTCTCCTCAATCATGACATTATCCTGTCTCGTTACTTTGCTGCTGTAGTAGCTGTGTGACTAGACGGCACGCTGCATCTCTCTGTCTCCATTGTCCATAGTTAAAATCTCAAAGTCGCCAGCGCCGCTCTCAGGCGCCTCACAGCCCTTTAAAGTTGGGCACGAGCGGCCAGCAAGAGATGCAGGAGCGGGTCTTCGCACAACAGAGTCAGCCAGTGGCCTGTGCTGCTCTTGGATTGAATCAATATACCACTGCAAACGTCCGGGACCTCCGACATCCTCGCAAAGTTCTTGCACCGCAATGTTGGGTCCTAGCTCGCCTGAGTGCTGGAGAAGGCTGCCGCATGGACCTTCATGTGCATGAATCTCTGCCCACATCATTATGTTGCTCCCACCAGACAAGCCTGCAGCGTCCTCACGCACCATCTCCTGTCTGATCTTTGTGAGTGATTCCGTCCTTCTGCGCTTACCCATTAGCTTTTCGATGACGTCCTCCCTGAGCGGAAGCATCCGGGTGCTCATCGACCTCGCACTGGCCTCTTGAGCTCCTTGAGCAAGCACCAAGCGCCGCATTGCCTCTTCCTGCCTGGTGTCTTTGCGTTTCGAAGTCTTGTCATATGCTGTCTTAAACAGTTTGTGGCTTGCCTCGTACGAGTCCGCGCTGTAGTTTGATAAGCTCCCACACATCTTGATGTCTGCGACAAGGTGTCGAAGAGCATGGAATTTCGGAAATGCCATACCACTTGCCTGGTACTTGCCAAACACCTCGATTGCTTTGTCCTGGAAATTTGAGATCTGGTCGGCGAGCGCGTCGAGCTCAACTGCGGTGAAGCCAGGCTCCGAGAAGCGGGAGGTAGCTGTAGCCACCAGTTCTTGATAAAGGACGCAAACAGTCGTCAAAGGAGACTTATTAATAGTGCCACGAAGCCTGTCCAACAGAGCAAAGACGAATGGCATGACTTGATCAATGCCGGCGAGGTCTTTGGCCTCAAGCATGGCAACTATCCCTGTTGATGTGAAGAACCCAGAGAGCTCATCGTTTGTCCCGGACTTCGTGAAATCAAACTAAAGCCCCACGCAGGGCGATTCTGCCTGAATACGCTTTAGAAACACGTTACATCTTTTCAATACGTAGACTCTAGCCGACTTGAGCTTTCTTGGACCTCCTTTGGAATTCAGCAGCTCTGTCGTGCTTAGCAATGGATGTTTCAACATTTCGCTCGCACAGACCTTAAGAGTCCGCGATAAACCCAGGAAAAAATTATGCAATGTTTCAAAACGCAGCAGTCTCAGCAGTGCCAGTTCTTCGGTTAGATCCATGAACGGCCACTTCAAAAGGGCAGGGTGAACCGTCGTCACGCCCACCAGTCTCATGTTTTCTTGTAGAGACTTCTTTCTCGCCGTATCACAAGCCTGCTCAGCGACTTTGAATTTATTCAATCGCTGCACAGTGTCCCAGATATTACGTGGAATGCAAGGCTCTTCCGAGGCAAGATCGAGCTTCGCAGTGTACCCCCAAGGGCAGTGCCCGTGCACCGTGCCCCCCACGTCCGATGCTTCGGGCATATCCGCAACATATGAGGCTAGAACAGAGTGGCATTTTCGGACATTTCCCTCTCCATCTGCTACGACTATTCTAGTGCGCGATACATCCCAAAGCGGAAGCAAGGCCTCCTTGATTGATGCCTGAAATACACGGCTCTTCGATAATCGCCGCTCTTGGACTGAAACTCTTTCTGGCATTTCAAAAGTCTGTTCCTCTTCCTCGCAGCACCAATATTCCTCGTCATCGCCGGTAGAGTTGGCAACATTAATTGCAGCCCGCACGAATTCAACTGAAAAGTACGCAACGATAGTGTCGCCGTTGGAGATGAGCCCCTGTCGGATCGTCTGAGTCATGTTCAGAGAGCATATATGGAAAGGCAGAAAGGAGTGAGATCCGACTTTCAAAGTCTGGCATGATTTGTCTGAGTAAGCTTGAATCGCTCCGACGAAGCTGTAATTATCAATCCAGAATCCACCGCCATCGCCACTGATGATGAAGTCCTTTATCAGAGGAACCACGTTTTCTATAAGAGCGCAGCCCATCGTGTGATTGTAAACTCTTACATTGGCGCGGTTCGTTTCTATGAATGGATCGAAGAAGAGCTGGTGTGACCGAGCTTTTGCAAATTGGCGCCTGAGAGAATCGACTGGCGAGCGGAACCAGCCAACTCCATACACGTTGCAGTTCTTGGGGTCGTAGATGGTCTGCCGCTTGAAGTTCAGATCCGCAAGCCAGCCTTTAGCGT